TAACTATACAGCTCATGCACAGCATACAAGACAACTGTAATACAAGTTATATATTTTATCCATTTCCTTACATGATATGAGCACAAGTTAAATTGCACACTAAAGGAAAAAGTAACTTTATCAGCAATTATAAGAGATGCTAACATGGAAGAGTTGAGAAAAGGGCCTTAGAAGCCAAGGTTGGGCATGTTCGTGTATTACGCATGTTAGCTGACTGTCTCAAGTAGATACTGACCCAGTTAAAATGGAGACAAATATTTCAAAGAGAATCTTTTGGCAATAGAGTATAACTTTCTGCTTTCTGACCTAAATCTTCACATTCTAGTTCCGGGAAGTATTTATTGTAATCTTTTTGCAGGGTAATGCACTGAACTATCCACTCTCTCCCTGAGAAATTTTCCTCTCTTTTCAAGCTTGAGAAGCAAAAGTGCCGTAACAATTGTGAAACTATTCAGAGGAAGAATGTCAACTTTTGTCAAGTTGACTTTTCTCTCACTTGAAAGGACCAGAGGAAATCAGCAGATGAAATGAAAATTGAGGAAGCTTTCGTACACACAAAAAAATCATATCGAGATGTGCAGCCTCTTGTGGATCACTCACTTTCTCTGTGTTCTATCTACTAACCCAATTTGTTGACCATAAACCACTACTTTGATGACAATTCTCAGATCACCTACTAGGTGACCTAGCTCTCTAGGGCTGAATGTGTAATATGAAAGTCACCTTGGTACTGACAATTCATTTCTACAGAAAAACTAACTTTCCCCATCTTGGACTGCAGCCCAACTGAACTGAATTAATAAGTAGTTAGTTTTAATACAGTGTAGGGAATAATCTTATGTCAATAGGTTTTTTCCAATTACAAAGAATCTTTTTACCTGAATGCCTGATTTTAGTTAATGTTGGTTTATATAACCCTGTTTTCAAAAGTGATGAAAAATGGGAATCATAAAAAATAATGCTAAAAATGATTCAAAAACATATTCAAGATGCCGACTGAGCATTCAATTTTACTGCCTCTTCTTTCTCAACTTCTTTTAGGTTTATAAGCATTTATAAAAGAAATATCTACAGGAAATCAAGAAATCAGTGGACCAAAATATTTGAGGGAATCTGGAAAATTTTAAGCAGATGGTTTGATGTTAATAGAGAAATTTGCAGACCAAAACACCAGAGGTAAGGACAATTTTAACTGTGGGAGCCCTGGAGGCACTGAAACCTGAAGTAATCGCACTAAGGACAGGTGTGGGACACAGGGCAATTATGACTATAATTAATTAAAGGACTCTATCAGGAGAAGTGGGCCAGTTAGGGTTTTACCCTTCTATTATCCTTTCTCCCACACTCTAATATACAATAGTCATTTCTTAGTCCTAAGATAAAAATGTGTGAATTGCTCTTGGTAGAAAAGAGATGGAGCTACATAGACCAAACAAATCTGAAAAGAATGAAATTTTTCACAGTATGTTCTATAACCACAAGGGGATTAAACTTGATTAATTCTTTTATTATTTTTAGAAATACCATAACTAGAAAATCCCAAACTTCAAAATATTAAGAAATATATTTCCAATTATTTCCAAGTTCAAAGTTGAACTCAAAAACTAAAAAAATATTTTAAACGGAAAGTTAATGAAGCTATAAAATATTTAAAAATGTGGAGTATAGCTATAACAATGTTTCAAGAGAAGTTTATAGGCATAATTTTACATGTTAGGGGAAAAAAAGACTGGAAGTAATTGGTTTATCATTCATCACAAAATTCAAGAAAAGTCAAATCACATTAAAAAAGTATATGAGAAAATAAGCATCAAAAATAGGTGAAGACCTGAATGAAATATAAATGTGCAGTAGAGAATATAAGCAGAACTGAAAGTTTGTTCTTTGATGTGTATACAACTGATAAACTGATATGAAAAATATTTAAAAAATAAAGTTATGCAAATGAGCAATATTAAACATAAAAAGAGACACAAATAAATCTAATATTAAATGATAGTATAGCATGGCAAACTTTATGATAATAATTTTATAAATTGTATAGGGTAGAAAAATTCACTGAATAAAACAAGACTGAGAGAAAAACAAATAAAAACAGTGACTTCAGTACTTATTTAAAAACTGAGTTCATAACTTGATATCTTGTACAATGAAAACCTCAGGAACAAATGGCTTTCCAGGATATTTTTTTCAGTCTTACAGAAACTTATTTAAAAAAATGAAAAGGGGAAAGTGATTCCTATCTCTTTCTATGGGGCTAACATAATTTTGATTCCAAATATTTGACAAGTATGTTCAAGAAATATTATTGGCCTTTCTCAAGAACTAAAAATGTGAAATGTAGCTATATATTAAAAATAATACATTGTGATAATTAATAAAATTGACTACATTCATAGAAAAGTCAGAAAACATAATCATATAACTTTAATAAATGTGCAAAAAGCAAGAATGGTCATTTTGACAATATTTAATATTTGGTTATGTTTTAAAAAACAGCTAAAAACTAGAAATCAAAGAGATTTTCCACAATACGAAAAACAATAGCTCCAGAAAATTTATCATACACATTATGCACACATTGATATTTTCCCTGCAAATTGGGAAAAGTAAGTGAATGCCTGTTATCTGCGCTTCTAGTCTGTGTTTTTTAAGCCAAGGCAAGTAAATGAACATAATGATAATATGAATTAAATTTTAACTATCAATACTTACAAATGACATGATTATGCAGATAGATAACCAAAGAGTGTCTATTAACTTCTAGAATTATTTAATGAATTTAGCAAGTTTGTTGACTACAGATCCATATAAAAAAAATCAAATACTGTTCTATGTTACAATACCAAATACTTAGAAAATGAAATTAATAAGTTACCATAGAAAAATTCAATTCCTATTAGTAAATTTAACACAAATTCTAAAAGACACATAAAGAAAAAGCCTTAAATTTGTTCTGAGGAATTAAAGTATATCAATAATAGAGGTATGTGACATTTTCATGAGTTTAAGGTTTGATATTGTAAGGTTTAAATTTTCTCTAAATTAAATGCAATTTTAATTAAGAGGCAGGATATTTTATAGAATTTGACAACCTGAATTTTAAGTTTTAGAAGTACAAAGATCAAAGAATAATAGTTAAGGCATATTTGAAGAAGACAGTTGAAAGATCTATGTATATTAACAGCTCTCACAAAATATTTGTGGAATAATAATATACATAAATATGCATATATGAGAAATAAGAAATACATGTATACATTTATAAAATAAGACATGCATACTAGAAATAATATGGTTAAGATATATATATCTTATATATATATCTCATATATATATATGAGATATATATATATATATATATGGGGGACCCAAAAGAACTGGAAATTATTTATAAAAAATTGCATATTTATTCTTTCCTACTTACACTTCAGTCACCTTCAATCTACTCTCCATTTGATGTAATACACTTACCAAGAAAATTTTTCCCACTGCTCAAATCAGTCTTTGAACTTGTCGAATTTGAAGTCTTTTAGTGTCTCTGCCATTTTTTGTCTCACCCTTTCCACATGTGCAAAATTTCCCTTTGAAGAACTTTTTTACTGAGAGAAACAAAAAAGGGTTATTGGGGCCAAGGTCAGGGGAATAGGGTGGGTGGGGCATGGGGGTCATGCTGTTTTGGTCAGAAACTGCTGAATACTCAGTGCTGTGTGGGCAGGTGTGCTCATAAATCACCCATTTTGAAATGGGCAAAAGCACTCAAAGAGTCTTCAAAAAAATTCACGGGAGATGAACACAGACTCTCATAACAACATCAGCAAGCACACTGATACAGATGACTTCCTAGAACACTCACCTAGTGGAGGAAGCCTGTACTAGAAGAGGCGCACCCTCCAGGAGATAATAAATAATTCCAGTTGTTTTTGGGTCCCCTCTCATACACACATACATGCATGCATATGCACACATGTAAAAATCTGCCCCCCCCCGTTTATGCTGATATTTGCTCTTTGAGTCCAGTTTCTGATACTGAACTCCCAAAACCTTTGTAATCTCCTGAGTGATAGGCGTGCTAGGAATATTCTTTGTTCTACTATTTTGTCTTTGAACCTAATTTCTTACCTAGAGCTTCTAAATCTCTTTAAATTTTCTGGGTTATAGGAGCATCTTTTATTCTAATGAGGTTATTCTTGGTAGTCTGCTAGATATTGGCTGGTCACCAGGAAAATCAAGTATGATTAGAAGTTTGGTACATTCAGCTCCAACTCCCATTCTCCTAACACTGGAGAAGAACTGAAAAGTGACTTAATAATTGGTCATGCCTATGTGATGACACTTCCAAAATCCCAAAAGTACAGAGTCTGTGCAGCTTCCAAGTTAGCAAATACATCCACCTGCCATGACTTAACATTCTGCACTGGAGACTCTTTGAGATTTGCCCTATGTACCTCTTCTCTGGATGTTTATTTGTATTATTAAAATATATTATAATAAATCAGCAATAAGTAAACTATTTTCCTGGATTCTGTGAGCCACTTTAGCAAATTATTGAAGCTGGGGAGGGGTTTGTGGGAATCTTCGATTTGTAGTCAAATAGAACATAGGTTGTGGGTGACCTGGGGACCCAGTACTTACAATTGGTGTCATAAGAGAGGCAACCTTTTGAACTTGGCTCACTCTCATTACTGTCAGCATTGCATAATGTCCACACTTCCGGGAGTACTTACGGTTTACTCTCAGCCTCTTACAAATACATCTTCAACTTCCTCTAACATATTTTCTTAATTCAGCTTTCCATAAGTGATATTACTCCTTACACATCTAGATAAATACCCATTGTAATTCAATTTCTCCACCACATGTATGTTTTTAATAAAACTCCTGTATTAAGATTGCTAAAATGGAGGTGGCTTTCATGGAGGCAGCCAGCATGAGGCTGGGGAGCTCTGAGCCTCACATCGTGCCCTGCGCTGCCCAGACTAGCAAACAATACAATCAAGATGGCTAAAGGTGACCCCAAGAAGCCAAAGGCCAAGATGTCTGCTTATTCCTTCTTTGTGCAGACATGCAGAGAGGAACATAAGAAGAAAAATCCAGAGGTTCCTGACAATTTTGTAGAATTTTCCAAGAAGTACTCAGAGAGGTGGAAGACAATGTTGGGGAAGGAGAAATCTAAATTTGATGAGATGGTAAAGGCAGATAAAATACTCTATGATCAGGAAATGAAGGATTATAGACCAGCTAAGGGAGGCAAGAAGAAGAAGGACCCTAATGCCCCCAAAAGGCCACCTTCCGGATTCTTCTTTTTCTGTTCAGAATTCTGCCCCAAGATCAAATCCACAAACCCTGGCATCTCTACTGGAGATGTGGCAAAGAAGCTGGGCGAGATGTGGAATAACTTAAGTGACAGTGAAAAGCAGCCTTACAACAATAAGGCTGCCAAGCTGAAGGAGAAGTATGAGAAGGATGTTGCTGACTATAAATCTAAAGGACAATTTGATGGCGCAAAGGGTCCTGCTAAAGTTGCCCCGACAAAGGTGGAAGAGGAAGATGAAGAAGATGAAAAGGAGGAGGAGGAGGAAGAGGAGGAAGAGGGGGAGGGGGAGGGGGAAGAATAAAAAAAACTTTATCTGTCTCCTTGTGAATACCTTAGAGTAGGGGAGCACCGTAATTGACACAGCTCTTATTTGAGAGATGTTTGTTGCCCTCATTAGGATTAATTACACAATTGGATCATGATCATATATAGTCTTTCAAAGTGCTCTAGAGATTGTCAGCGATTTTCATGAAGTGGCAATGGGTGTCTGGAGCACCCTGAAACTGTATCAAAGTTGTACATATTTCCAGACATTTTTAAAATGAAAAGGCTCTTGTGGCTTCCTCACTCTGTGCACTTTGCTGTTGGTGTGACAAGGCATTTAAAGATGTTCCTGGCATTTTCTTTTTTTAATCTGTAAGGTGGTGTTAACTATATAGCTGTTGGCTAGAAATCCTGAGTTACCAATTGTACATATCTATAGTTTGTAAAAAGAACAAAACAACCAAGGCAAGCTCTTGATGCTCTTTGCTTGGCGTTGAGGCTGTGGGGGAAGATGCCTTTTGGAAGGGCTGTAGCTCAGGGCGTGCACTGTGAGGCTGGACCTATGGACACTGCAGTGGGCATCCATTTAGCTTCAGGTTGTCTTTTTTTTGTATATAGTGACGTAGCATTCTGCCATTCTTAGCTGTGGAAAAGTGGGGGGTCAGCTGGCACGAGAAGTGTTTGGATCTTTTTTAGTTAAGTGCAGTAGTTTTAAACTGTTTGTTTTTAAACAAACTGTAGAACTCTTCTTGTCAGCAAAGTGAAGAGTTGCTGCATCAATGAAAATTTCAAGAACCTTCTGTACTAAACAATTTGAAACATTTTGAACATTTTGTTATTTTTTGTATGTTTAGAATGCTGAAATGTTTTTGAAGTTAAATAAACAGTATTACATTTTAAAAAAATTGCTAAAATAAGTCTTTTCCCTTTAAAATTTAAAAACTTACCACACTCAACCAATTTTACCTCTTCCCATCTCCATGAAATGAACATGTAAGAACACAGGTGAGAGGAAAAAGGGAGCCACCTTCGCTCTCAGTTTCTACTGACAGCACTTCCTGAAACCCAGCAACATCCCTGCTCATGGCAGGGTGGAGGAGATAAGGTGACAGGTGGACCCAGGTGACAAATGGAGAGATGGTGAGGATATTCTGGCTTGTTCCTGAAGATAAGAGAATTGGAGACAGTTTAAAGGTGTAATTTTTTTTTTTCCATTAGAAGAACCTGACTGGAACTTTGAGGCTCACACTGAGTCCAGACCCTACCCTAGGAGAACACAAAAACTTGAAAGAGTCATTCTGGATTTCAGTTACTCAGTTCACTTGTTCCTCAAATGGCTGGATTAGAGGGCATCTAATGTCTGTTTAGAGTCTTACTTAGTATTAGTAGAGTATTTGCTTTGTAATTGTGCAATGAGTACATAGAGTCTTTTTTATGTATCTTATGTCTTTGTCTTGGTGCCTGCTACAGTGTCTTACATTCTTTATTAATCACCAATGCTGTGTTTTGATGCTTTTATGCAAGAAAGAGGGAAAAAAAGGAAAAATATCTTAGACAAATATATTGTGTTTGTTGCTTCTATTTCATAATGTCTTTCACAGTCTTGACACGGAGCATGGCAGCAGTCCATACAGGGACAATATGTTTTTTATGTAGACAGGACTGAGGAAAACTCCCTATAGAGGTTCAGAAATTTATTCCAAGCTGTTGCTGTTAATCTCTGATGCAATGGAGGCCTTACTTTTGGCAAGAATAGGGCCTTCTTCCCAAGATACTGCCCATATTTTTCTTTGCAAACACAAACTAAAGCTGCTGTGCAAGATAGCAAAACATATTTTAAAAACTAAATTAAAACCATTGAGTGGACTTCATTATACTCTAGATTGTCAACATCTTTTGATACAAATGCACATTTCAGTATCTTATAATGGGAAATTTTTTGTCGGGAAAGAAACCAGAGCAATCAATTTAAGTATTTGCTGTTCAAGGGTTCCCTAACCATTTTATTTGGCACTATTCATGTTCTTCTAATTTTTAACTCTTTAATCTGCTTATATCAGAGAGGTATCAATCAACATTTGGGAAGAAAAATTAATAATTGATTGCATTAGTTAGCTCATGTTGCCATAACAAAATACCACAGACTGGGTGACTTAGACAACAGAAATTTGTTTTCTCATAGACTGTAGGCTGGAAGTCCAAGATCAAAGTGCCAACAACATAGTTGGTTCCAGATGAGAATTTTCTACCTATCTTCTTGCTGTGTTTTCACATGGCTTTTCCTCCCTGTGCTTTAAAAGAGAGAGAGACCTGTTGTCTCTTTCTCTTGTTATAATGACATTAGTCCTATTGGATTATGGCCCACCTTTATGGACTCCTTTAACCTTAATTCCCTCCTTAAAGGCCCTATATCCAGATACGGTCACATTGTGGTTAGGATTTCAACATACATATTTGGGAAAAAACACAGTTCAGTCCATAACATGTATATTTAATTATTTCTTTTTAAAAGCAACAATAAAATAAAAATTAATTTAAGGGTTTTAAAAATTTGTACTTAAGAGAGCAAAATTTTATTTGAGTTACTAACTTTTGATAATAAAATTCTGACTTTGGAAGTTATGTTCAAACCATTGAGTGGACTTCATTATACTCTAGAATGTCAACATTTTTTGATACAAATACACATTTCAGTATCTTATAATGGGAAATTATAACATAAACTGCCTTTAACATTAATTAGAGCAACGTATAATCACTAAAGACACTTGCCACCAACACTTCTCACATAATATATTGCGTGAGTTGAATAGAAGTAATTTTCATGGCATTGCGAAGCAATATACAGGGCCAGGCAGAAGTAGCGCCTGCTTCAGTGTGGTTGGCAGGGTAATAACATGGGTGTAATAATTTACAGTTTTAATTTGAACATCTTACCTAAAATGTCATATGGTGTGCTTGAGTATGATATTGCTATGGTACAGAATTACATGCTTATGATTTGTAATAAAAAATTTTGTAATAAAAAGGGGTGTCACCTGTGTTGTACCCTGCATATAACCAAGAAGAGGGTGCTTTAGCATCTGCTTCCTTGATACTAATGAAAAGTGAAAACAGATAACTCAATACTGAGAAATAATATTTAAACTATTTATTTGAACATTAAACATGTGTGTGTGTCCATTTACTGAAGGGAACTAAAAAAACTATTAAAAACCTTTTAAAACTGTATTTCTTAGTTATTGCCTTAGGGGAAAAATCAAGTAAAGATTAAATTATGGTTTAGGGTCTTAAATTGAAGCAGCTGGAAATGTGTGAAATATATTTTAAAAATAAAATTCAAGAGAAATTAAAAGCCATAAGGATATTATTCGGAGAGCTAAATCATGTCAATTATACAAAACAATATCTTTCATCATGCTAGGTAAATAAACATTTTGCACTAAACTAAATTGGTAAAACCACCATTGCTATGGAACGACTATTTCAAACTATGGATCAGTACTTCTGACCACTAAAATAAATTTCCTGATGTTCACTTTTGTCATGATCATAAACAAAAGCCTCATAACTGATACTTGACAGTTGATATTTTTATATTTTTGATACAGGTAGTATAGCACCTGTTACATATGAGTAACTTAAAGTTATATCTGATGACAATTTCCTCTAACTAAGTCAACCATGTAATTCATAGTACTTTAGCATTGATTTAAATTAAAACCATATTATTTCACCCATCAGTGTTCAATAAAGCCATACTTAATATCTTCTAACCAAATTGTTCTTATCTTTTTGTTATGACAACTTCCAGAGTATTTAAATTCCTGAGTATCATATGGGAGAATATTATAAGCGATAACACTCATTACATGCTAAGAGAAGAGGGAGGAGGAGGTACTACTAAATGGAAAAAAATGCTTTTATAGCTGCAATATTCTTGTACTTTGTTGCTATAATCTCTTCAGTGAAATAACTTCTGTTGTGTTTAACTATTCAATTATTTTGAGTGATTTGCACTCAAATTCATGCACTCAAATTCATGCATTCAAAATGAAGTTGTCATCACTATGAAATTCTGTCCTGGAAATTTAAAGAAAAATCTGTTAAATTTATGGAACTAGAATTCATGTGACAATTGGTGCCTTTCAGAAAATATTGCTGGTTAACAAAACAGGGCTCAGTGTAGAGACAATGCAATTTGGGGTAAATAAATTTCTTTCATAACCAACCTCAGATGATTGGTTCTAACACCAAGCTTACTATGGAAATTTTCATCATTGCAAATGATGCTGTGTCAAAACTAAGTCATATATGCATCCTTCCTTTAGCCTTTAACATGACATGTAATCTTAGAGGCACTTATACAGATAGATGTCAATTTAATGAGGCAGTTATCTCAGATAGGATTTTGTTTCTCTCATGCTTTTGGCATAGATGTCTACACAACTCTGAAAAGTTTTGGTTGTACCACAAAAATTTTATATAGAATGAAAGTACATTGGTGCTGGTAACTGTCTGTTTTTTGGACACTTAGTTATTTCATTCACAGTCTTATTTTTTCTCTCTACCTCTCTCATTCCAATATAAATATTTTGATCACAGTAACTTTTAACTATTTTGTAATTATACAGGTTTAGGTAACATAGAATATAAGAGTTCTCATTATTTTGATACAATCTACATTCTATATACTATCTAGAATGAGAGTTCTTTTTACAAATCCATGACAGAGAAGGCATTGCACCCATTATTAATTATATGCACCCCTATGTTCATTGCAGCCTTATTTACAATATCCAAGACATGGAAGCAACCTTAGTGTCCAACAGTAAATGAATGGATAAAAACGCCATAGTATGTATATACAATGGAATATTACTCAGCCATAAAAATGAAATCTTACCTTTTGCAACAACATGGATGGCATCATATGTTAAGTGAAATGTCATTCAGAGAAAGACAAATACCATGTGATTTCACTTATATGTAGAAATTAAAGAAGAATGTAAACAAATATACAACACAGAAACAGGC